CCCCCCCCCCCCGCCCCAAGTTTTCTCCGACTTGAGGGCCTGTAGCCCGGGCTCAGCGCTCAGTCAACTTTCCAGAACGTACTCTCCGAAGGTCCTGTTCTGCTCTGCGCAGCCTTTTTATTTTTCTGTCGTTACTACCTTAATATGACTTCTGGGAGGGCCACTGTCCCTACCGTCACCCACAGGACACAACCTTTTAATTTGAACTCAAAGGAAACAACGTAAATCTGGATATTATTAACCTCAGAATGATGGTGTTGCTTTCAAAAATCTATTTATTAAAACATTTGGGTTTCCAAGCCCTAGTAAGGGCACAGGCTCAGCGTCAGGCAGGCGGACTGGGCGAACGTGGTCTCGTGGGTCTATGCAAAGAGGTCCAGCCAGAGGGTCCGCACAAACAGCCCCCTTTAACTTGGAGGTCAGGAAAGAGGAGTTGGGGGCACCATGGTACCGATATGGGGGAAAGGCCGCTCTATGTTTTGCTTGTCTGTCTAGACTTGAAAGCTGGTAACCCCTGTGCCATTTATTGGAATCGGGGTGACCGAGTTTTTCTGTTTTTCTTTTGATTAGCTCCACTACGGGAGAGGCAGAGATTGGGGTGATAAGCAGGCAGACCTTGAAGCCTCCCTGCCTGGTTCGATCCTGGCTCGACCCCTGTATTAGTTTGCTAGGGCTAGGGTGACCCAATAACACAAAGTGAGTGGCTTAAATAACAGAAATGTATTGCATCACAGTTCTAGAAGCCAGATGTACAAGATCAATGTGTCAGCAGCGTTGCATCCTTCTAAGGACGGTGAAGGAGGATCTGCCATGCCTCTCCCCTATCTTCTGGTGGCTTGCTGGCAATCTTTGGCATTCCTTGGAGTGTGGAAACATCACCTGATCTCTGCCTTCATCTTCACATAGTATTGACCCTGTGTGCATGTCTGCATCCAAATTTCTTTTTTTATAAGGACACCAATTTTACTGGGTGAGGGGCCGACTGCACTCCAGTATGATCTCATCTTAAGTTAACTAATTGCATCTGCGACAACTCTGTTTCCAAATAGGGTCACATTCTGAGCTATTGGAGGATTAGGACATCAATATATGAATTTGGGGGACACAATTCAACTCATAACGACCCTTATTAACTATGGGAATATGGGCAAGTGACTAACCTCGGTGTGCTTCAGTTCCCTCATCTGTAAAAGGGGTGGCAAAAACTTAATGCCTCCCGTACAGAGTTTGGGGGAAGATTAAATTAATTAATATATAGAAGGCAGTTAGAACAGTGCTTGGCACAAGATAATTGCTAAATGAATGTTTGTTATTCTTACATATTTCTATTTAACTTAGTAAACAGGCAAAAAACCATACTGAAATGAAAAAATCAGACCACATTTTTGCTAAAACATGGGCCTTTCTTAACTCTTTCTACGGAAATAAACTTTTTAGAAGGACTTTTGGCGCCTTAATGTTGTCATGCAAATTAACCTTGTAATTTTAAGCTTGGCCAGGAAAAACCTCTGGCTGGCCAAACCAAAAAGTTCATGTCAAGGTATTACTTTAGAACATTTACTTGGAATGGCATGTCCCCTAATTAGTATAAATAGTGTAATGTTTAATTGTAATGATTAGAAAGATCCATTTCATCAATAAATAAAAAGGTTAATTTCTCCAAGAAATAAACTGAAAAGAAAAATATACTGTCCCAGTAAATTACTGTACTGTATCACTGTTATGCATTCTAGTAGATCATCTGCAGTCCTCTGTGGTTGTGTGCGTAATATGTGAACATCTGGATTTAGACTGCTGTTAGCCACAGTAAAAAGGGCAAAGTTTTGCAAACTTTTGAAGCTGTATTTGTCAATGATTAGCCTGAGGGGACTAATATGAACTGATTCTGCTGGTTAAAGATGAAGAGTTAGAAGCCCTACTGATAAGAAACAGTTTTCTACCTTCTAAGTACCATCTATCTTCTCTGCTCATATAGATCCACTTGATACAACCTTCTGTGCCTTTTTAGGAATGTAATTTGAATATATGCTTTCTAATATATAATAAATTGATATTAATAAGGTATTTTATTGAATCATAGGGGCTGATCCCTCATGAATGGATTAATGCTCTCCCTAGGGGAGGAGGGGTAGTGAGTGAGTTCTTGCTTTATTAGTTCCCGCGAGACCTGATTGTTTAAAGGACCCTGGCACCTCCTCTCTCTCTCTTGCTTCCTCTCACCATATGACCTGCTTGAACCCACTGGCTCCCTGCCACTTTCCGCCATGAGTAGAAACAGCCTGAGGCCCACGCCAGATACAGCTGTCCCAGAATCATAAGCCAAATAAACCTCTTTCCTTATAAATTACCCAGTCTCAGGTATTTCTGTCATAGCAACACAAAACAGACTAAAACAGTAGGTTAGGAATATTGAGAGTCACCTTAACTGTTTCACTGTTGTTATTTTATTTTTTTATTTTTATTTTTTTTTATTTATTTTTTTTAATTTATTTTTTTTGTCTTTTTGTCTTTTTCCGT